AGTCGAGAGCGCAGGGAAGGGAAGCGGATTGCGATTGAAGAGGCGCAAGAGAGCCGCCCGGATGTGAAAGCCGCTGGCTGCCGGGGTGAAAATGAGGAACGAGACCTTCCAGTGGATAGCCGGGCCACAGCGCCCCCTGGTGAAAAGGATGTGACGGATTTCTCAACTATTTAAAAACGGAGTGCAAAAGTAAGTAAAACAAAAAAAAAAAGATGACTCCGGTATGTAACAGGTGTCGTCTCGTCTGTTTGTAAGCAAGGTGCAAAAACTGCATCGTTAGATTTTAGTTGCTCCTGTCACTTTCCTAAAACTAGATATGCTCTGGAGCGCACTTGGAAAAATTTTAAAATTTTCACACTTTAACCCAGCAAAGCGCAACCTTACTCAATTAGAATGTTCTCCAAAATGTGAAAACATTCTAGAGGAAAACCTTTAGGAAGCTTTTTCTGGAGGTTCCCTTAAGTTTTTTTTTTTGTTGTTGTTTTTTAATAACCTTTAGGGAAACATCTGGGAACATTCTTGAAGGTCCCCTGGAAGTTCTACAAAAGCAACCTTCAGTTTTCAGATTGCCACCCTTACTGTTCACTCTGTTTTAATGAAATTTGTCTCATATGAATTAGAGTTGTCTCAAGTATGAAATACAATTCATTGTTTCTATTTTACCTTTTGAGTTCAACTCTGGCCTTAAATTTGAACTTGGTAGCATGGATTTTCTTAAAGAATATACATATCTCACTATATATAGTATTTTGTAATAGTTCTACAATAATATTCTCAATTTTTTTATTAATTAATGAGTAATAATAACAACAACCCTGCTATGCTTTCTAATGTGTTTCTTTCATGTAAGAAAGAAACATATTAGAACATGATTGAATTTCAAACGTAATATTAAATAGTATTTTACATCTGAAGCCGAAAACGTCTGGTAAATTTCATATATTTTCATGGATGAATTCAATATTCATGAGACATATCAAGGCTTCTTTTGTTTTAGTTTTAATTATTATTGATTGACAATCAGAAATTCAGTATTAATCAAAAAAGGATTCCTGATAGAGAAATGTTCCAATTCTAAAGTGTTGTCACTTAGTACTTGGTTGGGGTTCCTTTACCATGAATTATTGCATCAGTGCAGTGTGGCATGGAGGCAATCTCTGCCGAGGTGTTACAGGTTACTTTGATTTTTGGGTTGGGTGTTTCTCATTTTCCTCTGGACAATACTTCACAGAGTTTCTGTGGAGTTCAGGTGATTGTGAACTGGCTGGTCAATCAATCACAGTAATAACATGGTCACCAAACTATTTGGTAGGAGTTTTGGCATTATGAGTAGAAGCTGAAAGGAAATTGCTGTCTCCATAAAGCTCTTAAGAAGATTTTACTGAATTTCTCTAAAAAGTCCTGGTTGACACTCTATTGACTTTGGAGTTGACCAACCACCAACAACACCACAAATTATCACACAGTGCAGGACATTCACATGGGCCTTCACTACCGCTCTGTTCCTTCATCTGAGAGGAGGTCCACATCCAGATGTTGTTCTCCCTGGCCCAGGTAAGACGCCTCTGACATCTCTGGTTCAGGAGTGTCTCCTACCATAAATCGATGATCGTCATCTGGACAGCTGTCGAGTCAGCAGTTTTCCCCATGATTGAAGCTGCATGTGCTGAACTAAACTGAGAATTGTATAACATTTGTAATGTCTGAATGGTAATTGAAATGAAATGGTCTAATAATCTGACATACTGGATTTCAGATTTTTATTTTAACTAAGAAAAACTGTTTTCAGATGGACGTATACAGGTTTTGACACGGTCGAAGGGCTTCTCGGTATCTAACGAGGTGAACGTGCGAATTCCAGGAAGGCTTTAGTTCCAAAATACTGATGGGCTTTGGGCTGTGGCTACAATGTAGCTTGCCATCACCAGTGTGTGGAATGTGTGTGTGAATGGGTGAATGACTGAATGTAGTGTAGTAGTAAACGCTTTGGGGTCCTTAGGGACTAAGTAAAGCACTATACAAATACAGGCCATTTACCAAATAACTTCATTAATCTTATAGATTTATAAATGGAAAAAAAGTTTTATTTGTTAGTGCCGTTTGTAATTGAATGCTACATACATACAGATAATCTTAGCATGAATGTACACGTACTGTATGTCGCCACAAAGTTTTTTTCTTTTCAAAGGTTTGTTTTCAACATCATTCACATGAACTACAGTACAATTTGGGAGGGAGGGGTTGGACAAAAAAAAA